GAGAGACAACCAAGTCAAGGGCTAGGAGTCCTAACAGGAGATATGGGTGTTTCACTGTCCTTTGATCCAGATTTCAGCTCCCCACAGCTCCTCCCAGTGCAGGGGCATTTCAATTCCCTGGGTGCTTACWCAGCTGCCTGCTCAGCCTCTGCATTTGCTGTCCCACAGATGCACAGAGCCAACCCAAATAACTCTGAGTCCTCTTTCGTACATAGCCCTGGGGGATTCTCAGAGCAGTTACCTCCCACCCATCCTCCAGACACCKTACCATCTCCAACAGCCATGTCAGTGGAAACCCACTCGTGATGATGGGCAAGGCCTTTYTCTACCACCTGCCAAAGGATGGATTTCCACCCTCCAAAGCTCATCAGACTAAACACCCACAGAGAACCAACCCTATTTCCATCACGGCCACAGSAACACAATGCCTACTTTGCTTCCCCTCTCTGTTTCAGTCTGATGTTTTGTAATAACAAGAAAAGGAGCTTTTTAGCTAGCAGTTACTGGTTCAAGACACAATGTCTGCTGCTTGGGCAAYTAAGTCTGGAGCATCGCTGTCAGCYTCTGGGCAGACACACATCACATTTGCCTTCATCCTCTCCCAGRCTCAAATCACGTGTATTTTACTAGCCAGAGCAAACAGGAGATTAAAAGCGATTTGCTGCCCTCTCCTGAGCAAGYCCCAGTGACATGTCAGTACTACAGAGGCTCTGGAGACAGACTGTCCTTCAGTGAGCACAGCTGCTCCCATGCAAAAGGAATGATGCTGATGTGGCATCAAACAGCTGTGACAAGGAAGGTTAGAAGTGATCATCTGCTGTGACAGATGAGGACAGCAGATTAGCTACACAGCCTGAACCATCTGGTATCCACAGAGGGCGTTCCTGGCATTTTGGTTTGGCAACTCTCAGGTTAATCTTCCCTCTGTTGAAACACAAAGAAATGCCTCTCAGCATATTCTGTTCTCAGTAGTCACAAATATTTCAGAGCAGAAGCAGACCATGAGATACATAAAGAAACAGAAAAAAACTTACTTGTAGATTTAAAAGGGTAATGTGGGAGGAGTGTTTTACTAAACCCACTTAAATTCTTTTATGTCCYCCAGTAATGCTCAATCCTGTCCTTCCAGGGAGCATCTAACTTTACCTAGACATACAKTATTCACACACATACTATCTTCAGAACAAAACTTCAAGGCACTTCCCCAAGATAACTAATCTTTTGCAAAAACGTGTTAAATCAAACTGTGCTCTCCATTAAAGCCCTTCAAAATCAGGCCTATGAACCTTAGGGAGCCTCTGTTTTCATATGCAAATATACACACAYAAAAAAATTAAAGCCACTTCTAAACATTTCTAAAATATTTCATTTCCCATGTACCCTAGGACAGATAAGATGTCCCATGATGTGGAATCAACACAGCTTTTCTTGGCACTCTCTCTGGGATGCCCTGCATGCTTCAATCCTGAAGGGAAATGAGGGGTTTGAAGAAGGCCAGGTAGCCTCATATTCGTGACCATGAAGAATGTCTCTTACAATTTGTAAACAAAGCAACAAATCCCAGATCAGACTGCCACCAAGGCATCCCTCAAAGTTCTCACTTGGGCACACACACACACACACACAGCGTACAGCTCTGACTACATGAGAGAGGGGTGTGCCAAGCTTCTCCAGAACTTTCCTCCATTCTATCTCCAAGCACTGCCTAATCTCCAAGTGCTGCAAGGAATTGGCCTGCCCCAGTGACCAAGCCCTGCAGTRGTTGATAACAAATCGTTGCTGGTGTGTACAGATGGGATATTTTCATCGCACACCTGAGGGTGCAGAACCTATGAAAGCRTAAGTAAAAGAACAGAGGAAGGTTCCCAAGGGTCACACGGACCCAGGCAATCTGTAAATGAGTGCTGCAGCAATCTTGAAGCAAAATAGAACCACTACCACCATACGGTGCAAGGACTGATGGGTTCTCTGTGGGATTATGGGTTCAAATTYTCTAGGCTCCAAAATCAGCTTGCTTTGCTGTCAAGCCTTCTTTGACTCCGCAAAACATTCAGAAGTCACCATGAAGATAACTGAGAAACAAGGCATTTGAAAGAAGAAAAAAAGCAGTGTGCCTTCCCCAAAAGACATCTTACCAACCATTTGGTCCTTCACTTAGGTTTTGCTGCTTTTTAGACCCCTCAGCTTTGGAGCTCTGCATTAAGGAGGCTGCGWACACCTTGGTGTGGTCTCCCAGACTTCTTTAACCTGGTAACTTTCAGAGAAAGGAGCTGCTTGGAAGCATCTGAACCTTTGGCAATGCAGTAGCTCGTCCAGCAAGCCTGGCAGCCCAACCCTGCATGCTATGGGTTTGGATTGGCCTYGATACTAGAAAATTATTTGCAAAGCAGATTAATAGCTTGTGTTTATCTTTGCCATATTTCACYGCTACTTCCCCTTCAAAGCATTTGTGCATTCTTGGACAGTGTCTCCCTTCAGAAAACAAGCCAGTTCTGCCATCATGACATCTCAGCAGATCCTCCACTGGCTAGTAGAGCAAGAAGGCATCTGTGACATGCAGATGCCTGAGCCAGGAGAAGGCAAGATATGCAGACTTAGATTTATGGATTAAACGTGCTGCTAGGCACACAAATCACTCTGCACTCAGTGCAATTCATTATCACAGTGCCATGGCTGCTCACATTCTTCACAGGTGCARATAGCGAAAAGCAAAAAGGCTTTTTACCCTTCATGTGCCAAGACTTAACGATGCAGAGTCAGGAGCCCTCCTGCYTGCCTGGGGAAGCAAAATCAAAGTTTTTCTGTCTCTCTGGGCACACTGAGCCCTGAAGGTTTTCCAGCACCCCGCAGCAGTGTTAAGAGAAGCAGTCACAGGACTGGGATCRTGCCTGCTCCCAGTCCAGCCTCTCCCAGCAACTGAACCTGAGCCTGTGGCGCTGCTAGTACTGCCCACATGCACCAGCAACATCCTCTAACCCAGGTAAACTCAGCAAAAAAATCTGCTGCAAACCCAGGGATTAATTCTGTCACACCAGCACATTTTGCAAAGTCTTGRACAAGCAAAGAGTCTTTTACATCTCTTGCATGTATCAGTAAAGGATAAGAACTTCAACAACAGACATAGAATACTAAAGTAACAGTACAATTGACCAACAGGAATGAGAAGGAAGGAGTGAAGGGATGACAGTGGCTTGGGCTACTTCTACAGCTGCATCTTGATTCTGGAGAAAGGACAGCGGGGAGGAACAAGCCAGAAAATGGGCTTACTATTCCTGTGGAAACTTAGTTCCTCAGGGGTAAAAAATTGTTTTAAAAATACAACAGTAATTGAAAGTCAGATTTGAGAGCATTGGGGACATCATGGAGCACCAATTTGGACCTCTCCACAGAGGAGGCTCCTCAGTGGACCTGTGTCCCTCCTTGGAGGTCATGGTCATGGTGATATTGCAGGAGATACTGGTGCACTGTGCATTGGGTAAAGTCCAGCACCCCAGAATAAAAGACAAATCTCAGTTGGATGCCCATTCCCTTGGGTGTCTCAGTGCCACATCCAGCCAGGCCAATGCTACAGAGATTAGTGCTGGAGGGACACCGGCCAGCAGAAGGAAATAGCACAAGGAAAATGCGACGACACTCACCTGGGTCAGGCTGGCCCCGGCATTCACAGAATGGGGAATGCCCTCCTCAGCCATCGCCCCCACCSGCGCTGCCGTGAGGGGACCCTCAGGGCTCCATGTTCCCGCCTCAGCTCCGTCCGCACCGCCGCCCTCTGGCACCTGCGGCCTTTCTCTGCAACCCTGCTGCGTTTGGGGCTGAGCTGAGCCGAGGAAAAGCAGCCTGAGGTAGAGAAGCTCCAGAATTCCCTTTTTCCCCTCAGAGGGCCCCGGATCGCCCGGAGCGGTTCCTTCAGCTCTTTCCCCCGTCATGGGCTCCCTCAGCGCCCTCGGGCCGGGCCATCGAGCCGCTAGGGGGCGCTCGGAGTG